TGGCCCAACAAAAGGCTTTTGTCCTGCTTCCGCTTGACCACTTCACACAAAAGAACACATCAAAGACGGAGAAAGTCTCAGCTCTCCAGTCGCCCCACCTTGTTCCTTCCGCTAAACCCCACAAGCCCACTGTCCGTCGCAGAGATCAGGGTGAATTGAATCAACATTGGTCTGCCATCCAGCCAATGGGGCACTATGGGTCAAAGCTCAAAGTCAAAGGCAGGACACTTGGGACTGCTGTGAAGTCCACGGGGAGCTGTAAGGACCACCTGCTCACATACATAATAGAAAACCCACCAACTGTCATTGTTAAAACCCTGCTTTCTCTGTCACTTTTTTTCAATTTCTTTCTCTCTCGCCACCTGCAGTGAGGCCAGCAACAAGCGAGACAAAACAACACAGAACAAGACATTTCATCACTTGCATTACATCAGCTTTTTACAATCCTGCTTTCAAGTGTGTGGTCCCCACCTTTTATATCATTGCACAAATGATCAACCCTAAAACTTGAGATCCTTTCCAAAGCTGAACAGATTTATTTCTTTACTGTCTTTTGTTCAGACAGAAATGCCACAATCTGCATCACAAACACAGCACTCTCCACAACAAGTCCCGAGACGAAGCCAGAGTAGTGAAGTCCACAAACACTTTTGACATTCTCGCCTCTGGGGTGTGATCTCAACAGTGAGGAATGCATATAAACTGGTAGCCTGACTAACGAACCACATGTGGTCTAAAGAATTTTGTCTTTACAGACAGGAAAACAAAGACAAACTTTTTGTTTTGTTTTGTTTTTTATCATCCAAACATCTTATTATGAACAATTTTGGAAACTGTGAGGTTTCGCTGACTAAATTAACTAGACGCCACTGAGGGTTTTGCTATCAACACTAGTGGGATCAGTCATCAAAGAACTCATGCGAAGGTTATGAGCTGGCAATGATGCTGTAAACACTTAGTCTCCAGCACATATTAAATGGCTCTGAAAAACCTCGTCGATTGTTCGGTCAACACCCTCTCTCTGACAGAGCAGGTGCACCATCTGGCAATGTGAACTTTTGATGTCGGTCCACAGTGCTGCAACAGAGCAGTCATGACTCATTTGTTTGTATGAGATTGAAAGCAGAGCTCTGTGAAGACACTGGATCCGATGGTATGTTTGCTCCGGAGGGTTTCAGTTTTGTCTTTGAGGGATTGAGCATTATCCATGTGACATAAACCAACTGCGTCCCATGTCAGCACCTGGCATCCAACCTCTTCTATTTTCCCCCAATTCGAGTAAACGAAACAAAGTTCAACTCAATGTTTGACAATTGTTTCACCCCACACCACACCCCTCTGAATGATGTTTCTCCCTTGTGGAATGTATTGGAGGAATGTCGTCAGAGGTAGATGTAAAAAGACACAAGGGTACCATAATGTCAGAGTCAATTAATGGCGGGGGGATTATTAAATACAGAGAACCTCTTTTTCTCCCAAATCTTGGTCTTACTTTCAATAAAGATTGGCTTATTACTGAGTAAATAGTACATCTGTTTACATCTGTTAGTCCGATCACTGTCCACTTATATCTACTCTTTTATATTTTGGATTTTAAGTTAAGTTTAAGCTTTAAGTTGTATTTAAATTGACACTTTATATTTAGGTTAAAATGTTTCGTACTTGCACTGTTGTTAATTTACTGCTCTGTGTGCCTTTGAATTGCCCTCCGGGGACAAATAACGTTTTTTGAATTTGAATTTGAATCAAAACCAGTTTAAAAGACTCTCAGTGATGTCAGCCATTAGTTTCTGAAGCTGACTATTGAAGCCCAACGTTGGCTGTTGCCTTATTGGAAATGCTGCCTCAAACTAACTTGCGCCAACCTGTCAGTCAGATCAGCAGCCCCCCTAATGATACATAACTCCTGGCCTCAACGTAATCAAAATGGATGATTTGTGAGAAAATTTGATTCTCTTCTGTAAATGTGCTTGGATATTTGTTATGAACACACGTGTGTTTGGGATTAACTGGCTAAAACAACTAGAACAGTAACAACAAAGCTAGGTACAGTCTCACACTTTGAACTGAAGGCTCTGTAAGTTAACTCCTGATCATAAAATGTGAGTTGCGGTAAAAAACTCCCAAAAAAGCTTGTAAAATGACTGAATAATGTCTTTGTCAAAAGCTAGCAACTTTCCAGTTGAGCTAGCAGTCAAGCTGTGGCTATTTGAACATTAGCTAGGCAAAAGCATAGCATCGTCTTGTTGAGCTACACATTAATTCATATTGTTAGTTAACTATTTAATCAAAAATAGAAATGACTTCTAAGCTAGCTTTTGTGCTCAAATAACCATCTTATCCTACAGAAAAAAACAACATTAGCTCAATCTTAATATAGCAGTAAAAACTCACTTGCTTTTTACTGCTAGCGGTGACAGAAAAGTTATTTTTTTGTCACCTCTTGCCCTTTTTGCTTCACCCCAAAGTAATAAAGCTCATAATGCCATGTTTCTCTGGCTTCCACCCACCTCGGTTTGACTCGACCACTTACTGTAGTAGATTATATCAGCCTGTAGCCGAGGCTATAGTGTGCTATTGTAAAACTTAAATTACTGCACATCCATTATCACAGTTGAGTGTTTAATAATAGCTGCCACCTTCTATGTCCCAGACCTGTAAAAATGAAGTACAGTATTGTGGTTTTCCTGAATCACCTCCAAGAACTTAAATTGGGAATATGTATAAAAAACTTCTTCTTTTTTTTGGCTGCAGATTTGGAGCATGGCATGCTTTTAATTAGCAGTTAGCGAGTCTTTATCCCATGATTGCTCATGCTGTGGCAGAGGGAGGAGTGTAACATCTTAAGGCTTTTTCGTTAGGAAAATATTGCCTCTCTCTGCAGAGCTCCCTGTGATGCTATCTGCCATCTTCTCCGCTTTGAAGCCAGAGGCTGATGCAATCTCTTTTCTCTTTATTAAACACACATCTTCTTGACAGGTAGTGTCACTTTAATTTTGTTTCCGAGAAGTCAGGTAAAAAACAGAGTCTTATTAGGCGCCATGAAGATGCTCTCACCTCTCTCGAAATGTTCAAAAATATCCTGCTCTCCTTTCTCGACGCTAACCATCTAAGGAAATGTAACTCGGAGGAGTCGTGGGAAACTTGCCTGTGACTGAAGTGGTTAACTCGTCTTTATTTAAAGTTAAACACTCCAGCCTTTTTTCTTTTTTTTGTGACGATCATGCCAAACAACAGCCTGTGATCAGAGTGAGGGGTACCGCGGAAAAAAGCTACTTTCCTTCGAGATAAAAGGCCCTCCACTCAAAAGCGTATGTCACACAATGCTGAAAATGTGACTTTAGCCTAAGGGATTGAAGCAAAGCACTGGCAACCTGTTTGTTGATTAGAGGAGAGAATACAAAGAGAGCTCAAAGAGGGTCAGCAGAGGGGAGGAAATAGAGGCTGTAGATCTACATTACCCCCCCCCCCTACACACCCCCTGTTCTCAGCACAGATTGAAAAAGTGATAAATATGCATGAGTTTGGCTTTAATAGTGAAGGCCTTTGATGGTATGGTTGAGAGTTCTCTATCTCTGGAGCAAATAGGCTGAAAATAACTATCTGAGAATGTTTACTCCGTATGTGTGAACAATGTGAGCTCTTAATGAGTAGAAGAGACTCTGTAGGAAGAGTTTCTTATCCGAGGTGTATACTGTATTCGGGCTTAGCTTTGTTTAACTCACTGACTTTTTTAAACTTCTAATCAATTACTGTTAACTGTTTTCTTTTATTTTAACCAAAATTTTCTTCTTTTGACCTACTGTGTTTTCCTCACCTTTTCATCATTCTCTTTTTAACATTGTGTTCATGTACTTTCATGTCTGCATGTTCACACATGTTTATTGTTATGCTTGTGTGTACATGTATTTGCTTGTATTTGTTCGTGCACACACGTCTAGTTTGTGTAAATCGTGTATGCATTCTGTTGAAATTGTCTATTCTTATATCCACGCACATCATATTATTTAATGAAATGTTTAAAAATGCTTTTTTTATGCCTGTGTAATGCACTTTAAATGCCCTGGTGTCTAAAGGGTGATATATAAATAAACTTGGTTGGTATCTCTGCTGAGCACGTTCAATGTAGTCATAAGTGCATGGAAGTTAAGTGAGTTGGAAATTAGCATAAAAAGTCATTAAGAAATCAATTTTATAAACAATTCACAGTGCATTCATTAAACATCTTGGTCAATAATGATAATGATCTTCTATAGTTGTAAATTATGACTACCCTGCATGGCATATGAAGGGCCAATTAAGTGTAAAAATCGTACAGTTTTTCCAACTGTAGCTGCTACTTTTTATCAACATTTGTTTCTGTCAGATTTCTCCTTTTTGAATGTTTTATATTTTTCCTTTTCCTTGTGGCTCTGCATGGCTTTAGGTGTTTTGTCATTGTAACTATTACCAACTGAGCCTAATCTGGATTTCACACACAAAAGTGGAAATAGATAGAAAGTATGTTGCATTTTTTCCCTAATAGGAGCTGTATTCAAGATGAGTTTGAACTTTACAGGAGTTGATTGTGTGTAATAAACAGGATATACAGTTCTGGGTTTTATCTCACACTTTTTTTTGGTCAACATTTCTGTCAATACGATGCATCAGCTTTGTTTGCAATACTAGATTGCAAGATCCTTTTTTGATACCCTGCAACAAGGAATCAAAATATATTTGCACCAAAACTATTTTCTGTGAAGTTAAGGTCTTAAATCTAGCCGTACAAAAACATTATTAGAAATATCTGACCACAAAAACATATCAGGAGCTTTCATTTGAAACTTGTGGGCTCTTACCTATAGAGACTTAATCAGTTGTTTTGATCAAAAGGAGATGAATGTGGGCCTGTCTGCGGCCGTTTCTCGTGTTTAACTCAACAGAAACAGGAAGAAGACTCATTTCATCTTAGTGTTGGGACCATCTTATATGTATGTTTTTTTTCTCTGTGTTTCCCTCAGACCTGCAGGCCTCCCCGTCCTTTGAACACTACAGCATTTCCGACAAACCGATGGACTACAGGATCCTGCAGATGGACGAGGACCAGGACAGGATGTACGTGGGCTGCAAAGATCATATCCTCTCCATGGACATCAACAACATCACCCATGGCACGCTCAAGGTTTGGCAGATGTCTATCATTAGTGGCTGTTATTAATATTCTGTGCTAATACAATACTGTTATCTTTTATTCACAAGCGAGAGAGAAAAAAGAGAAATGACAAAATCAACAGCATGTTTGGCTCATTAAACTGCTGGAGAGGTATTTATTCTAATCAGTGCAATGATATGCAAATGAAGGTACATTTGTAGCCATCAGAACAATTTGAGGGTTTTTGGAAAGAGGCATAAAAACGCCGGAGCTCTCTGAAAACTGATTCCGCATGCGGTGAAGGAGTTATCTTCAGCGTAATTGACAGGCATGAAGTGCATAAACAGATGGGAAAGCATTTAGGTTTCCCCAGGGAATGCTGCACTACATCCATTTTTTCCCAGAGTAAATTGCTCAATATATTCAGCGAGCTGGACTTTTAACCGCCACTCCACGGGCTTGAAATAAACACATTTTCCTGTGATGGTTGCTGGCATGTCATTACCGACACTTTTAACCACAAGCTGAAACTTTTACAACGTTTGTCTTGTTGATTTTTTTTCTCTAATTTTCCCTGTGATTTCGGTGCGTAAACAAAATATGATCAAACCTCAACGTGGGCATATGTTGTGTCCTCGCTCAATCTGTTCCTAGCTTCCTGGGCTCACTTCCCACTTATTTAAACACTCGGTTCACTCTGATACTTCTCTCACCAGGTGTTCTGGCCCGCGTCTACAAGCAAGGTAGAGGAATGCCAAATGGCAGGAAAGGACCCCACGGTAAGAACACTCAAATCTGAAAACATTTATCATGGAAGACTTTCTGCCTCTTCTGCAGCACAACCTGCTATATGATGATACATATCTTAATAAATAAGAGATACTTAAGCTAGCTCCAATCACTTAAAGCAGCAGGATGAAAGTCTACAAAAGTACTGACAGTTTTATGTATATTCAATGTGGCTGTGTCAATTACGCTGCCGTTTGGGAAGTGAAGGGCAAGAAATATTTCATACTCAAAACATAGGTGGCTAACGTAGGAGAAGTCTTTTTACTTTGTTCCCTCTCCAGGGGCGGTGAAGCTTTTAAAATCATTAATTTACAATCTCCTTCTCTCTGGGTTTTCTATCTGTGATGTGGATCTGTGGAAGCACACCCCGGGGGGCTTGTCTCCTCAAACGGTAAACGCATCCAATTGAACCACAACTTTCACTTAAAGAATTAAAAATTAAACTGGTTAAAACACAAAGGTATAGCAACTGAGACGGGCAACTTCTTTATAGCGTGCAGGAGTGAGAAGCCTTTCTTGCCAACCAGTTGGGTGGCACAATAAGTGTGTGATGTTCAGTGAAGAGAATGACTAGAAAGCAAAAAGGCTTTCTTTGTTTTCATCTTAAGTCTCCAGTCCTTAACAACAGCTGGTTCTCCAGTGTGCACTTCCAATCTTGTGCCTACAAAACTCCATGGTAGCATCAATAGACAAGTGTCAAATGAGGCAACTCAATTAGCACTTCCACTTTGGGTCCGTCAGCAAACCGGTTCATCCAACGTTCCCTTCATCTTTTCTACCATGATGGTCAAGATCTGGACTCAAGGTTTTGTCAGCTGTTCCCAGATCCACTTCTCCGAGTGAGTCCAGAGAGGAACTGTGCGTGCAACCTCCTGGGATTTCCCTCTCCCGCATCTGTGAGCTGGTGTCAGGTCTGAGTCACTTGTGCAGCAGGCAGCAGATGTCTCCAGGGTCACCGACTGGACCCGGAATCCTCCTGGCATCGTCACAGGACCAGAGAGAGGCGTGGGCGGATCGAGGGAGGGGGGGTGTAGAAAAAACAAACCAGAATCAAAGCTCGCAAATGGGACGCAGCTCATTGACTCTGGGATTTCATAACCAAGCCGGCCTGATTCTGAGCAGCACTTGTTAGCGGGATGGAGATTTAATGAAGACATACTGTACAGTAGGACTCTGAGGACTGATTCCTCCTCCGCCTCTGTTCTTGTCTAATTGGGTTGTTCTGGAATAAGCACACGCAGAGATGCCTACAGATGCTGCAGTGCTGAGTACAGAGGAATCTAGGGAAGAAGTCTTTTTACTTTTACTTTTTACCCTTTCGAAACTTTTACACCGATTGAAACCCCTAATATCTTAAGCGCCATACTAAGACCATCACTTCCTATTTGTCCTACATTCTCCACCGTCTTTCCGTCCCCCTGACAGCAGCTGTGCTAGTTAAGTCGGGGTTTTGTACAACACGCCTTGAGAAGAAGCTGTTTCCAGTCCTTGAGTGATTTGTGATGCACTGAGTCACCGCTCTGCCAAACTGCAGGCAGGCTTCCACAAGGGCGATCAATCCCCATGTGGATGCACTCAACGTACCCATCCCCGTTCTTACTTGCCAGTTTCTCTTCCAAACATTTCAGTTCCACTTCCTGTCTCAAGTGCTGTTTCCACTTTTCTGTCTTTTTTTTTTCCACCTCTCCGGTTCTCTTTTGACCACAGGTTATTTAATTTGGTCTCTTTTCCTATTTTGTGGTTTCCCTCATTTGAGTCAGAGACCCAGCTCCTCCTGTTTTGGTTACCCTCGCCATCTGTGGGCGATATATATATTGAGCTCCTCTTCTCGGTCTGTGGAGACACCCGGCTCCAGAGAAGGACCGCACATTGTGATTCGCCCCAAGGGTGGCACCGAATAAGAAATACAAACCAACTGGGCTGATTACGACAACGTACCCTCCACATTATACCCAATGAGGTCCACACTTAAACTTAAGACAGCGAGACAACATTCTGTTTATTTGGTTCAGTTGCAAATAGCTTGTGGCTAAATACGTTAAGTGTGTATTTGAAAACCTGACAGCGATATGGCTGCAGACGGCAAGAAAGAAAATATGCTGTGAGTCAAAGTAGAGAAACCAGGTATTTTGCTAATCTTGACTTTTTATTTTTATTTTACCTCCACACTCCAACATTGATATTTGGACCTTCTACATCTTCAAAACAGTCTCTTTACTTCAGTGCGTTCCATTAGCTTTCATTAGCTTACGTTAGCTTTTGTTAGCTTACATTAGCTTTCATTAGCTTTCATTAGCTTATGTTATCTTTCATTATCTTACGTTAGCTTTCGTTAGGATCATATGCATCATTGGCTAAAATGCATTGTCCTGCGCCTTCCCAACATCACTAATATCTGTCCTTTTTTTCTACTCATGTTTTGGTCAATAGACTCGCTTATTCAGAGCAATTAGATAGCTTCAGTTAGCTTTGATGCATACAGAAAAATATAAAGAAGATGATTCAGTACCTTCACCAGTCTTCCTTACAGAAGCATCTGTAAATACAGTATATTTGAGCTACTTTCACCACCTTGTGCTTGTTTTGAGATGATTGGGTGGTTAAAGTCAGAACAAAGCCGGAGAGACAGAGGAGGAGGATAAATTACAGAGATGGGTGTGTTACCATGAATTTCAGTTGGGTTTTTTTTGTCAATATCTCTCGGTGGAGCCGTGCACCGACCGTGATCTGCAGCAGCTGCCATTCCTGCAGCCATGGCCAAGTTCTTGACGGCTCCCTGGATACGTCTTCCTCTCCTCCCCGTTCCCTTTTCTTCCTACTCTCCCCTTGTTTTCTGCGACCTAAGGTTCAATAAGCGGAGCTTTCAAGCTGCCGTTTGGGAAGCGAAAGAAGAGATGGAGCAGGATCAGTAATCTGCCTATAGAGATATATCACAGATATATACCAGTGACGCTCTTTTTCCACTGGCCTTAATACCAGACCTGTGAGCTGTGGGACCATTTAATTGTGCAGCAAGTGATTGTATAACCGGCACAGCAAGTGCGATAAGTTTGAGTTACTCCTCATATGGAATAGGATACTTCAGGAGAGATAAACAAGCTCCTTTCACTTTGGCTGTACACCAGGAAATAGACCTTACCCTCTGATACGCCTCAGAGCATTGTGTCACAGTTGGTGTTAAAAAAGAAATGAAAACAGTAATTATTTTTTGTAGTGCTGTTGGGGGTTAGGAGAATGTTTTCAACTAGTATTCATATTTTTCATCTCAAGTATCATCTATGATAGCATGCTCCATTGCTATCATCCAAGTCAATTCATGAGGTTGTGCTCATTAGCTTAAATGTTAACAGGGATGCTAGCTAACGGTCAGATTTGCCATCTAAAAGCTAAATGAAACAGTAGGACTATCCCAAGTTTAAATTAAAGTCATTAAGATAGCAAAAAACGCTCAAATGTACGTTATACAATGATGTCAAGTCAGCTTACTGTACATTAGCTGACATTAATACTAAACTGTAAGTTGTGTTTACAAAGTCTTACATGGGGAACAATCAGCTCATAAAAGGTTCAACACTCTAATATAACTTACAAAAACTCCTATTTCAAGCTAACTAGCATCAACTTACATGAGCAAAGCTATCATAAAAGCGTTTTTTTTTTTTAATGCTTGTGTAAGAACAACTATCTCGTAAAATTCTTCTGAAAACACTTTCCATTAGATTTACAATTTAATTGGGATTTAGCTGAGTGACATTTGTGTCTTTCTTTTTTTTTCTTCCTGTCTTTCTGAACTATTAAAGTGTCTCTTTCTTTTTGTTTATCTCTGTTTTCCAGCACGGCTGTGGGAACTTTATCCGAGTGGTGCAGCCTTACAACAGAACTCATCTGTTCATGTGTGGCAGCGGAGCGTACAGTCCCGTCTGTGTGTACATCAACCGGGGACGTAGACCAGAGGTGGGCACACGATGACAGATTCACTTCATGACATTATACAAACTCTCGACAGTGTAAACCATGTTTATGAGACGCTGGCTTGGTGCTTTACAGAGACATTACTGGAACAGTTTAGTTGAAATCTAACTCTGGACTGGTTGTCAAGTAAAAATAAATTAGAATACATTGCATGCTGCCAAATGACATATAAATAACAAAGAAACAAAAGTAACCCACTAATCCTTAAATATAGTTATTCATTCTTACTATGTGGCTAAAATATCTCAAAAATCTCAAAAATGTGAAGGGGGTTTGGTCATGGGGAATTTTTTTAAAGCATGCAATATTCAGTGCTGCCTGTGATATTATTTAAAATAAAATCCTAATTACATTACCTTAATTCAGTTAAACATACTTAATACTTCATTTGGACACCCTGAACTCTGATCATCTGTGGGTTTCACCTAAAACACATTAAGTGTTATTGGTTGTGAATGTTCCCCTTGAAGAACAATAAAATCAAAGCAGTGGGAATGCTGCCACCCAGAGTTGGTAAACAAAAAACATTTTATGAAAGAGAGACTGAACATGTAAATGCCTCAATGAGATTTTTTTTCCTAACTTTATGTAAAAATACAATTTTAATGTAATTTTTTAGGTGCAACACATTTTGAGGATACATAACCAATAGGATTAACACGCTCTACTTTTCAAACAACATTAGACTTTTTCAAAAGTCTACACATTATCTCATCACAGTTTGACCTTTCCTGTGATTAATTAAATTAATTTGCAGCATCAGATAGCAACTGTTCCTACCAAAAGCAAATACTGATGACTGATCTGAAAAGAATTTACAAGCATATACAAGTGAGGAAAAACAACAGTTCGAGTCTCCACAAGTTTGTTTGAGGGCTGGATGCCACATGAGAGGAGATGCTGAGGATAAGAAGGTGAAAATGCCGCACTGGTGTCGGGATTCGGGAATGGGGGGCTGATTGCTCTGCTCTCATCTCCGGCCACACAGATCTGTAAGTGAGAGCAGGAAAGCCCTCCAGGAGAAAAGTGCTGGGTGAATATCACCACAGACTGTCGACGGCTGCCAGGCACTAATAAGCAGAGCGAGAGCACTCACAAGCCCGGCTCTTTCCACACTGCGGTGCCTTTTTTGTCATTTGGGGTTTTTTGTTTGAGAGCTGTATACTGCTCTGTTTGCAGCTTCGGGGGTCAAACATGTTCGGTTTTTCAAGAAAAAGAATTTGTTAACCCAAACAAGGAGGCTGAACCTTTTGGACTTTGAAACTTGATGAGTCTGCTGAACAAGACAGACTATGTTACAATGTTAGTGATTTTGTACTTCTTAGATTACTAATGTTTTATAAAGTGAAATAAGTGTTCAGTATTGGTATTTCATCTCGTCATAAAAAGTCAGTGTTGGATTACTCAACTTGTTTTCAGAGAAGTTACACATTATTCATTGTTCAAACTAACAGTACAAAACATACTGAATGGATGATCCAATACAACACATTACGAGTTAAAGTTGCTGTGTTTTGCAGCATAGACATTACTGACAGATTCTTCCAGATGGAGTCAGTCCACCTCCAGAATCTCTTGGCGAGCAGCCGCATTTTCCTAGAAAATTCTCCCCTGCTGATGTCACTCTCGGTCAGTAAAGTTGTATCTCCACTATGGGTCGGATCTGAATCGGATGGAACAGGAAGCCCTAATATAATTTACTCAGACTACTGTTAGAACTGATTGGACCGTCCAATCTGCAATGTAGAGGACGGGGTAAAATATGGCAGCGGTTTTACCTGATGGAGAGATGGCTATCTAAAATATTATCAGAGAAATTCCTCTTCCTCCCAAATGGAAAATTATTTTTACTGTCCAACATGGGCCAGTAAAGGTAGACCAGGCCGGGTTGGTTTTTAAGGATCTTTCATAATAAAAGGGAGGGAAACATGAGCAGGGCTACCTTATGGGTTTATAGTCGGAGTTTTATGTGGCAGAGGCCACACGATGGAATAACTTTTCGAATAAAACTGTCTCCAAATTCTCTGACTTCCTCTTCTCTCTCTGTCAGGAACAAGTATTTCACATTGACTCCAGGACCGAATCGGGGAAAGGGAGGTGCTCCTTCAACCCTCAAGTGAACACGGTCTCCGTCATGCTCAGTAGGTGTCTGCTACCTCCACCTTCATGATTTGTGGCTCTTTGAAACCCCTGGAAACTTGTTTTAGAAAAAGGTTACCAATAATAAGAAATTGAATTCTTTTGGTGCTCCAGTAAGTACTCCCCCCCACCCCAGATGTCAAACTCTGTGGCCTGAAAAATAGGGGCCAACTCAGAAGCTTAGATGCTGATTCAATAAATATGAAACACCAAAAGGTTTCTATTAAGTATGGCTAAAGTTTTAATTTCTTTGCAAAAAAAGATCTGAGAGTTCAAATCCAGGTCACATCCTCCCCGCTCCCTCTTTCTCTGTACTTTGATCTCTGATTGGTAGAGAGGTGTTGGGTTGCCGTAGATACAGCTAAAGGCAACACATTGCACCCTCAGCTCTGCTTTCTGACACCTGAGCATGGCCGTGTCAGCAGTGGCTCTGCCAGCGAGGGAGCGCCTTCAGAGATGCCCAGTGGGGAGCCAGAGGGGGAGGGTAGAATAACCTGAAGGGGCAGGGAGGAAGGAACTGTGCCAAATGGAGTCTAGGTCAAAGGCAAAGATGCAGCACTCTGAGCCTGGAAGGACAATCAGACGTAGTGTCTGTAGTTGATAAAAATCTGTGCTCCATCTCCGTCATCGTCACAAGTTGGACTCTCGGTGGCCGTCTGTGTGCTGTCGACACTCGCTGCTTAGCGAGCCAACTTGGATGCAGGCCACATACCCCAAATCCTCCAGAACACATGGTCTGGAACTGATGAATGATGAGGCGAGAGTAAAGGAATGATAAAAAGCATGAAGCGGGTGGTCATGAGCACAAAGCCCCTTATTAGCAACAGGACACACAAGCTGTAAACCAATTTTTCAAACAGCATGTTCTTTCCAAAACTGTTTTAATAAACTAAGGCTATATCCTTCATGTGTTGTTTTTTTGTTTTTTTTATCATTTAAGTTGTACATCACGTAAGAGCATATTCATTTGGTATGCGTGTGCATTCTTCCAGATCAGGAGCTGTTCTCAGGCATGTACATTGACTTCATGGGGACAGATGCTGCCATCTTCAGGAGTCTGACAAAGAGAAACGCAGTGCGGACGGACCAGCACAACTCTAAGTGGCTCAGTGGTGAGGGCGCAAACAGTCTTCACAGAGTGATTATTGAATTCACTTGCACAACGTAATATGTTTTACGTCATCCTTTCATCCATTCAGAGCCTATCTTCATTGACGCCCACCTGATACCAGATGGAACAGACCCCAATGACGCCAAATTGTACTTTTTCTTCCGCGAGAGGCTTACAGATAACAGTGGGAATACTAAGAATATCCACACCATGGTGGCCAGAGTGTGTCCGGTGAGTGCTTTTGTCTGAACCTCAATCACAGCCTGTGAAGCCAAAATTTTAGAGCTCCCACTGCTGACTTGCGTATTGGTCATAAACCCTGCCTCATTCCCCGCCTATCTTCACCGTCCGACTACTTTCTGCAAATGTATTTGTTCCAAATTACATCACCAGCGCAATATGTCAGCATCCTTAGCGATGGTATTTTGGCTTCACTTTTGTTCAACAGGAAGTGTTCATAAAGCTGTGCTAGTTTTGCGTTGCCAATTTCTTTTTGTTTTTCCTCAGAGTGACATTGGAGGACAGCGGAGCCTTGTGAACAAGTGGACCACTTTCCTGAAGGCCCGGATGGTGTGTTCGGTCCTGGAAGAGGACGGAACTGAAACCCACTTTGACGAACTGGGTCAGTCAAACAACGTAACAGGAAAATCATTGTAGAGATATTCTAATTAGTTTGTCGAGCAACTTCCAAGCTCCATTAAATTTTTTTTTTTTATCCGCGAAACAAGTTTAAAACAAATAGTTTTTTAAGGAAGTATGTAGCCAGAGACCAAACTAATTCCCGAAAGCGGACTGTTTTTGTTCCAAGGTTTCCAATGATTGCTTTCTCCATAAACATCTAAGAAACTTCCCCTGTTTTTTCTGGATTCGGCCTTTAGCCTTTTATCAATTTTCATAACAATTCTTCTGCTGCTTTTGGTTACCTTGTATAAGTATATGACTCAAGTCCTTTCATAGCCCCAACTTTGAAAACTAACAACATCAGCTTGAAGCTTTCGAGAACTGCTTTCCCAGTATGTCCATTAGACAAGTCCATCTGTCAACATGTGCAGTTATACCTTCATGCATTCATCACTTTTTGGCAATCTAACCTGCAGGATGAGATGCTTTGGCATACAGGGGATTTTAAGGGACGTATTCATCTTCGTCTTTGTGTGCACGTGTGTTTTTCCTTCCACAGAAAGTATGTTTTTGCTGGAAACCGATCAGCCCAAGGGCCTGTTGGTGTTCGGAGTCTTCACATCCACAAGGTAAGGCCCACAGCGATAAAGCCAACTGTAACATTCCTGCAAGCCTCAGTGGTTACGTTAATCCCTGACTGGAGCTCAGCAGGAGGAAATGTGCTAGTCGAAGAGCCTGTTACATAGGGATGTGTCATGTGTCATGTTGCAGAACAGCTCCTTCAGATGATGATCTATCAAATTCATGGCCTTTGTTTTGATCTTCTTTCCTTCTGATCTCAAGCAGCAGCGCTTCATTTTGCTGACAAAGTGCAAGGCATTTATTTATAGTACACATTGATACGTGATATGTGCTGTTGGATGGGTGCTACGAGAAGGGTAATAGTGCACAGCGGGAGTTTTCAGTACTTAGAGGATTGTATTATTGCATTTCAGAAAGGTGCCATGTTCCTCAGTCTGCAGACAAGAAAAATGAATATTCTCACCTTTGTCTTTTACTTGTCGTTAAGACATCAAATTTGATGGATACAGGCAGATAGGCAGATAAAACACACTGATTGAATCTCACATTTAGTATTTCATGTACACCGTAAAAAAAGGTAAATGTTCTACAAAGTGGACAAATTTGAAAATAGCACAACTTCCAGTGAGACTATGGGAAAGATGAAAGTTGGAAAAAGCCAAATGACAAGCAGGTTGAAATGACTCTTTGAGTTCAAATAGCAGGCAAAGGTTTTCGTCTCATTTTTTCCTGGATGTATTTTTCCTATTGTTACAAAAAAACAAAACAAAATCAATTAGAAGGTTTAAAGGAGTGATCACTCGATCCATCCATTCTGATCTTTAATGAGGTTCATCTGTTTAAGCCAGGCGCATACTGCCCAAGGGCCTCAATCCACTTGTTACCTCCGGATCATAGAGAGGCTGCAGCAGTGTATCCTGGCTCAAAGAACTCAGCCAAATCAAACAGAGTAGTCCACCAGGTCCTTTAGCTCCATGTTATTTCAATCTCAGCGCTGTTCCTTCCTTCGGCTTCTGTTCCCCCTTTTTGAACAAAGCTGCTTTTATGTGTAAAGCAGTAGGGTTTTAAATAACTGAGCCAACCACATTAGATCAATGAAGGGGAAATAGGTAAGCAGTCCCCGCTGGAGAGTGGCAACAGCTCCACCCGGATTGCATGACTCGCACAGCATCAGAGAGACAGATCCTGAAAACAAGTGCAGAATATTTTATCGAGGTGTGTCTCTGTTGTCTTTCATTGGAAATATGTATCTCATTTCCTCAGCTCCGTGTTTAAAGGCTCCGCGGTGTGTGTGTACAACATGGCCGACATCCTCACCGTCTTCAACGGGCCCTTCGCTCACAGAGACGGGCCAAACTTTCAGTGGGTGGCTTTCCAGGGACGCATCCCCTACCCGAGGCCCGGAACTGTGAGTTCATTTCTGGGTCATTCATTCATTAATATGTTGTTTTTAGAGCATGATTCCAAATTTCATTATGAAATATTTACTTCAACGCTACCTCCTTACACATAGCATGCCACAAGGGGAGACAAAGAAGACAAAGACTTGTACAGCATGCATCCCTTTTTAAAAATTTAATCAATTATATTAAATATGTAACAACCATTGCTTTAAAAAGAATGACAAAAAAGCTCAACAATATTCAATCTGAAATATCCAAAACCATAGTAAACAATACATGTTTTGTATGTTATCTTCATTTACTATGATTCAGCTAAAATATGTGATGTTATTTATAGGGCTGTCAATTATCAAAAAGCCTCATTCACCTTAATTAGCCATTACAAATCATGATACAGAGTCACAGTAGATAAAGGAAGACCTGCACTCAAAGGAGCATGACTGAAGTGATGAAGTGATATTAAGCTTTGTTTGATCATGAAGCCCGATGTTCCTCTGTTGTTTCAGTGAAATATTAGAACTACACTGCTGATTTGACTCTGCCTTTAACATAAGAAAACAGACAAAAGTTCAGCGTCATTAACACACAGATCCCTCTTCTGAAACGTCTGTGTCCTCACCGCACTTTATCGCACTATCGTAAAGTCGGGGATCGCACCTCCTGATCCACCCTTTTCACCGTTTTGTTTCTCCAGTGTCCCGGTGGGGCCTTCACACCCGACATCCAGACGACAAAGGAGTTCCCAGACGACGTGGTGACCTTTGTACGGAACCATCCGGTCATGTTCAACCCCGTCTACCCAGTAGGGAGGAGGCCCCTAGTGGTTCGGACCAACGCTGACTACAAGTACACATCGGTAGCAGTTGACCAAGTCATGGCTGCGGATGGAAACTACCAAGTGCTCTTCCTAGGCACAGGTACAAATGTAGATAGATTCTGCGGGTTGTAGCTTGCGAGTACAGCAAATAAAAAACAGATTTTTCTCACTTTCTCTTTCTTGAAATTGGAAAAAAACACTTGTATAGATAAAGAGCCGTGTCTAACTAATCATCATAGATACAGAAAAACATTAAATTGGGTCAATCAGGGAAAAGTTTTGCAGGCAGGGTGAACAAATCTACAAAGCAAACATGTGTTTAAGCAGGTGAGTTAGCACTAAATAGCAATAACACTTCAACATTTCACAGGTAAATGATTGCTGAAGTCCAATTTGCTACAGCCGCTCATCAGATAAACAGATAACAGATAACAGAGGGGATAGTACACTTCGGGTGTGGTTGCAAATTTGAAAGCAAAGGCTCATGACACAGCGTGCAGTGTATATTGTCACAAAAAGGTCACAGACAGGACGTCAAGACAAGGTCCTTGGACCTGTTTTGACCTCACTTTGTTAAATCAGGTGTGATAACCTGTGAGGGTTTTTTTTTTTAGTGTAGAATACAAAATATGTTCCTGCGCTTATGAAAAGGTGGTAAAACAGAATAATATGTGTGTACTAGTGGAATTATGCATGCTTTCGTGTCCGCTTGCGCACATGTTTGCATTCGGCAAACTGCTCTGGGACTCTCTCACAGCTGCTTGTGTTTATCAGACAGCCTCTCCATTCTGTTTTTTCGCCTGCCTGGATTCTTGAAGGAAAGCCAGTTCCGTCTGTCCATATCTGTGCCCAGAGATGCTGCTTTTGTCTGAGGGGATGAGGGAGACGCTCTTATCTTGCATTTCCAGGAGCCCGTTACTGTAACTCCCTATCCTTTCCCTGCCGCTCAAAGTCCCAGGACTAAACAGCCGCGTCGAGGGTGGGCGGCTTCTATTTTGCCCTTTTCCTGGCCCTTGTCCTCCCTTGCGCGGGCTTAAGAGCTTCCATATCCCACTCCTACCCCGGTTGATTTTGACTATGAAAACTATGCCTATCGTGTCTAATTCAAAAGCAAACATTGGCAAAGAAAACATACTTGAAGTTTATTTTTTTCTAATTTTCTGTATTCTAGGTTCAGTGTGTGTTGGCATATCTGTTTCACACGGTTGTTAAGTGCGTGTGTGAAGGAACAAGTCATAACATGTCTGCTTTCTGCCCCCACCAGACAAAGGTACAGTACAGAAGGTGATTGTGCTGCCCAGCAATCATTCCCTGCATGAAGATCTAATACTGGAGGAGCTGGAAGTATTTAAGGTCAGCTGTCTGTTTTACTCACCCCCCCCCCCCCCCGTCTTTCTTTATTCCGCTCTGACTTTCATCCCATTTCACCGCCAAAATCAAAGGCAGGGAGTTGGTGGAGGAGGTGGAGGAGGGTTAGCTTGGCCACAACACAAAGGCCAAGGCCAGACAGACAGACAAAGGCAGGGTGGCATTCAGAAGATGGATGTTCTGCAGTGGAGTGCAGCAGGGAGTGATGGGAAACAGGCTTACATGCTGCAAAGGTCTGGTTGTTGTCCCGAGAGGACCGAGCTGTTTTATCTTAGTGTGATCAACCTGTGACCAGACCTGGACTGCAGTCCAATAAGAACAGATTTACTCTCAAAAGACGGAATATTTTTCTTTTGGAATGAGACAAAGAATTTGGCAAGAAGCTTTTCTTTTATAGCTACCAACTCTGCCATGATTTTTTTCTATTAGAAATAAGCTGTCTCCTTTAAGGAAAATACTTGCCATTATGTTAAGGAGCGAAACCAGCTAACGCCTTTAATGAAGCTACGACAGCTAACTTTAAATAAGACGTTATCGCTAGCTGCTGTTTAGCTTAGCTTACAAACCCCATTAAAGTCCCTATGAAAGGAAAAATATATATTGTGTCCGGTTTTAATCCAGCCTTCCTGTGTTAAATGTTCATTTATCTGCCGTTATCTGCCAAAGGTATTCAATAAAGCGTTACCTGAGGGTGAAAATAACTGTCTAAAACTTTTCAAATATCTAATGACTTATCCTGCACCTCATTTTCAACCAATTAAAAAGCACTGTTGAAGCTAACAATCTAATCAAATTCATCCCAACTTTATGTCCTGCCTTCCATCCTGGGATTTGTTCCTTCCTGTTTCAGTGGGAAATGAGTCACGACACTGCAGTTGGATGTTGGAAGTTGAGTTTTTAATGGGGACTTGAATTCAAAATTAATTTGCACTTTTTTTTTGTTGTTGGATAAAAAAAAAGGTTTATATTGCTCAGATGTCCTTGTATATGGTTTTGTTGCATTCATTCCTAGTGTGTCTGGTTATGAACTGTCTCCATGCTGGCTAGCTTAGCATTTAGCAGTGATGTTTAGAGTGGTATTGAGCTAATCATCAATCACTGCAGAAAGATATGAACATGTTTCCACAGAATGTTGCCAACGATTCCCTTTATTTCCCCCCAGAACTGTTAACTGTGTCCAAAAAGTCTGAATTTATTGTGTTTGCGTTTCTTTTTTTGTAGAACCAAGCTCCTGTTACAAACTTGAGAATATCTTCAAAAAAGGTAAGTGTCCTTCCAACTTTCCTTTCCTCACACATTAAGTGCACTTTTATTGTTGTAATGTGTTATTCATTGTCTGTGGCTACTATGTAATGCACGACACAGAACTCTCCTGTGCATAATAAGCCTCCCAGAGGCAAGGAAATAATAAGCCATAATTGTTTCGGCGCTCTGCCTCATTTTCCTGTCAGCCGGCCATTTATGAAGACAAACAGGGCGGCTGACATTTGAACTGTTTGCTTTTGCAGCAACAGCTGTACGTCAGCTCCGAGTTCGGGGTCTCGCAGGTCTCCCTACACCGTTGTCACGCTTACGGCTCGGCTTGCGCTGACTGCTGCCTTGCCCGGGACCCCTACTGTGCCTGGGACGGGCTCACTTGCTCTCGCTTCTATCCCACCGGCAAAAGGTAAACAAAAGTATACAGTTTAAGGGTTCATAAGTGCGGTTCTGTGCCTTTAAATTAAACGCAAAGAAGTATTAAGTGTCCAAAAGGGATTTTTCTATAGGCAATGACGAGAGTAGGCAACAGCATGAAGGCCTCAAACTAATTTTTCAGTGTTAATGAGGGCTGACAGGTGTTGATTAAGGAGTGCATTCATGTATGCAGTTATTCAAAGCGTTCATAAAAGTTAAAATAACATTAACATTGTGCAGATTTTTCAATAGTATGGACTATTTATTGTATTTATTTTAATTTTGCCCCATTGTTGGCTTACAATAGACACCTTTGTACCAGTTAAACAACAAATATGAAATAATGGTCATACTATACATACTGTAGTTTTACTGGATGTGAAAATGTAAAACAATATGTTTAAGAAGTATGGATAACTGCTGCTAACAGCTTGTGAGTACAAAACAATCTTGACTGAAATCCCTCAGTAGACACTTCAATGTAAGCCATGTCCCTAATTCTGCTTTTGTTGTTCCCCTCCCTCTGTCTAGACATAACACAGACAAGGAGGTATGAGCGACACCTCACTTCTAAAACCCAAACCTCTCTGGTCTCTTTTAAGGACTGGTTGTCTGTCTCTTGACATTCCAGTCAGACAGAGGTCAAGTTTAGTTTGGTCGCCGAACAAAAGCTGAGCCCCGGCTTTTTTCCTGCGGAAAATGTGTTTGAAATGTGTCTGCTGTTTACATGCGCTTTTCCTCTAACTGTGTTAAATGAGTGTGCACAACTGAGTGGAAAAACAGTCAGATTTTCCTCGTATTGTTTTGGCTCCTTCCATATTTTTAATGTGAGACGAACATGTGAGGAGAAAGGTTGCTATGATTGTGTATTTTTTCTGTATTTAGCAACAGTTTATTTATGTAATTTTTTTCTTTTTTTTTGCAGGAGAAGCAGGAGGCAGGACATTATGCATGGAAATCCACTTACTCAATGCAGAGGATTCAACCTAAAAGGTAACAGAGATCTCTTTAAATGAAGGATCAGACCATCATGGGGACAAATTCATGGATAATTCTACATTTACAGCTGCACGAATTACAATTATCAACTGCAACATCATGCGTTTCCTTTTTTTTAAAACCGAAAATATTTGTTTAAACATCAAAAAAATACCTGCTCAAAATATGAAAACAGCAATAAGCTAGGAAAGAAAAGCTACGTAAAGCTCACACTTTGGTTGAAGGGACTAAAAACTAACACACTCCAGGAAGATGTCTTTGCTGGGATTAAAGTGACACACACTTCCTGGTTTTAATATCATTGTGGGGACTTTAACCGACTTGATAAATGTCTTTGTGGGGACTCTGACCCACACTTTGGGATTTTCATCCTATTGTGGGGACTTTAATAGACAAACACACACTTTCTCATTTTAATATAGTCATGAGGACTTGAACTGACAGAAAAAAAATGTCTGTGTGCAAAATAAACTAACAATCATAGTGGGGACCCGTATTAGCACAACTTTTGATTATATATGCAGTAGAGCTAAAATGAGCAAAACCTCAATTTATATACATAAACAAAACTCGAAATGAATACTTATGTTGGTTGCTATGCGTCCTATATGTTATGCATAAATAGGTATTGTTTTTCTGACTTGTTATCCAATTTTAAACGATAATAAATATTAATAAAAAATACTATTATGTCAATGTGCAAGGCTTTTCAGCTTGTTTTGTGATGCAGCTTTAAATTTTCAATATCATCTATGACTTTTTTTGTAAAGGGACATTTGCCATGTAACACTGTGTGTTTGTGGATTTTCAAGTTGCTCTCTTTGTCCAGGTACTACACAGCATTCCTTGAAAACCACACAGTCCACTGGCAGGGTGCACTCTAATGAAAGGAGAGGATTTGCTCCCTAGAGTGTTCCATTTCCGCAAACCAGTTTATATCCCTAAATTAACACGAGCTTGGGGAACAAAACATATGGCTATTACCACTAATTAGTCACAACCCTGTCATATATCCAGCTGCGTGATGAGCCATTTAGCTGCATCAGTAACCGACAGCCAATGAGACGAAGCTGTGCCGGTACGACGTAATGATGTTTTGTTTTGTGAGTCTTTAGAAGCGGAAGATGTGTGGGTGGGGTTTGGTTTAGCTGCCAGTGTCAGGCTGAGCTTTGTGTCAACATTTCACTCTCACTGTTGGGACTTCAGACAGATTTGAGTCCATCTGCGGGGTTTGTGTCTTTCAGCAAGTGACGTCTGATGTGACGTCTGTTGTGACTCTGTGTGTGTGTGTGTCTTAGCCTACAGAAACGCTGTGGAGATGACACAGTACGGAGTGAAAAACAACACCACCTTCCTGGAGTGTATTCCCAAGTCTCCTCAGGCCTCTATTCGCTGGCTGATTCAGAGGGACAATGACAGGAGGAAAGAGGTCAGTTGGACATTTGGAGAGGTCAAAGTAAAAAGCTGTAATGAAGCCCAGGATGCAATTAACGTCTTAAAGAGACATCACTGATTAAATGTCCTTTTCCACATCCGCAGGGAGTCACTCTGTTGTTTTTGGCCACATAATTGAATACAACATGACATAGCAGCAATATGACATAACACGCTTGAAAAAGACTTGTACGGCCAGATGAATGCCAGATGAGTGACACAACAAATACTTAAAGCCGGCCAGGCATCATAATGAACGATGATCAAATCCAACATGATGTGGACCTTGACTAATGGTTTTCATCACAGCGGGGGAAAGGCTTTTGCAAATATTTGACACCCCTTTAACCTCTTTAAAAGGCTGAGGAAAATTAAATCAAGCCGGGCAAGAGTGCGCCTGCTTGATAAAGACACATCTTTTATTGATTTAGCGCTCACCTCTGCGGAGTAGACTCAGAGTAATGGCCTTTTTTTTTATAGCCGATCTCCCATGAGGCTAGAACTTGGCCTTAAAATAAATCACTTTAGTTTTATGGAGTGTGGTCGCTGGAGTCGTTAGTAACTTAAGACTGGCTGAATTTTTATGTTGTTTGCGGTAGGGATTAAGAGTGCTGCATTTACTATAGGATGTATGTAACATCACTTTGGTCTAAATGGTTATGACAAGGGCATGTGGGCTTTTAAAACACCACAGATTAATAGATGGTCTAAATGACAACATCCAGAGTGCAGATGTATATTTTTAAAAAATACTACAAAATAATCTGAAAGTGTTCACAATGCCTGAAGCAGTTTTGACACAACCTTTCCAACCACAGGTTAAGCTTTGTGATCGTGTCCTCTCCACCGAGCACGGCCTCCTCATCCGCTCCGTCCAGCTCTCCGACCAGGGCCTCTACTACTGCCTGACCACGGAGAACAGCTTCAAGCGCACCGTCGCCAAAATCCGCCTGCGAGTGCTGAGCGAGGCGATGGTGAGCGTGCTGACGGACAAGCAGCAGTCGCCGTGGGCCTGGGCCAGCTCGCTGCACCCCAAGGTCCTTTTGTCAGCCTTCAGTCCAGCAGAGAGCATGGCCGTGCAGCAATACTGCAAAGAGAGGAAGGAGCTGCAGAAGCTGCAGCAGAGGCAGCTGCAGCAGCCACCTCCGCCGCCCGGACCTCTCAGGGGGGATCTGGCCAAACTGAAACCGCTGCTGGACCGGAGGAAGAGCCGCAACCGTCGCAATCACATCCCAGAGGTGTGACGCAGAGACAGTCTCAAACCACCATCCTTATTTTCCAACTCTCATCTCAAACTGCAGAACTTCACTGTGGATGTACAGTTCAATGAGGAGGTTGGTTGTGGGGAATAATCCAGGTTGTTTTTTTTCTTGCATGAGGTACTGTGACCAGATGGCTGTGAACTACAATAACACACATGCACGCACAAGCCGTCCGTTCGCTGTGGCAGCCACAGAACAAGGCCCCTGTTCAGAGTGCGGCTAAAAAAAAAAACTGTGTTCTTCACTACACCTTGAGACGCTGCTATGTTTAATTATCTTTCTTTATTCAAGAACTTAAAACGGGAAATTTGACCCGCCAAATATAATCTCACAATGGATTTGCTCTTTGTTGGAAAAAAAAGGAGGTAATTTGAAATCATCCTCGAAGAGATTCAAAAGGAACAAAAAGGGAGTCCCACTGTGAGTGCTATCTCAAAGTATTATACTTACATTTTATTTAAAAAACCTACTCACATTTCTATATGACCTCAAACTTACAAAAGTGTCCCAGCTCTTAGAAATGAAATAAAAAAAGTCATAAAAAAAAATGTCGATTTGTGAGAAAAATAAAAGTTTTTCTTTTCTCGGGTTGACAGCTGCGCCGACTGCCTACAATACCCACTGTTCATTGGGAGCACAGATGGCAAGCGGTCTACATAAAAAGTGTTATATTACAAGTTATAATGTGTAAGTACAAAGGCCAAACTCATCATCAAGTCCTGGTGTTAAATCAGCAGGAATAGTAATAACATTATGAGAAAAAAATATGAAACTCTGTGTGAGCTTTTGCAAACATTCGGTACTGAACTCTCCCGTATTTATTCCCATTGCTGAGACGTACTTATAGGTGAATGTGCCTCTCTGTAATTCAGCTGTATATTGCCTCATATCTCTTATGTTTCCAGTACCTAAGCATGTTTATCGAAACTCATCAATGATATAACAGTCTCTTGACCTGGATGAGGTTTGTGAAACAGGCGTTTTATTTTGTTTAAAACTGGAAATATGGTTCATGAATCCTGAAACGTGACAATATCCTTCTTTGGATCCACATTTTTCAAAACTTCTACAACAACAACAACTCAAAAGAGTTATTACTAATGGAATAGTCTGTAACATAGACCATTTGACATATGTGAATACTTTTTAGAAGCTTTCAGAAGCATAGTTAATGTAGATAGATGGAGAGTATTTTGTTTCTTGTGTACAGAGTATGTTGTGTTTCGTCTGTTTAATTTAACGTTGTGCCGAGTTTTGTGGAAATATGTTTTTATTGTGTACATAAATTCAACTTATTTCACCAACTATGACTGTATCTGCAAATTGTAGAGATATACAGTATGCATTTCATTTTGAGAGAAAAAAGACTTCCCCTCCCCCCCACCTGATATCTCTGCTCAATGTTTAATAAAACTGTGTGACCAGCAGCTTCCTGTCAGCTTCATCTCGCTGTAATTTTATGAAACATATGTATTTCTATTTATTAATGTCATGATAGCCTGAATAAATCTGTTCAGATAAAGATTCATTTTTAAAGAAAGATAATGCAATTCACTGACTTGTATTTTATTACTGTAATTTCTCAAAATGTCATCTTTCTCTTTCTGTTATTGGCCAATAAATCATCACGCTGTAATGGTTTCCATGCATGATACAACTCTCAACGTCTGTACACTAAAGATGGATTTACTGCCAGCAGCTTGTTAGCTTAGCTTAGCTGGAAAGACAAACTGGAAACAGCAATCCTGACTCTTTCTGAAGGAAGCAAAATGTCCTTAATTGAATTTAACTGTTATTTTTGTATAATCTGTTTAAACAACAAGTTGTGTTCAACTGAGAGTTATGTGCATGTGTTAGCTAACCAGCTAACTTCTAGCTAGCTTCACCCACAGAGATATAGATTATTATCTTTAATCTTGACAAAAAAGCAAAATGAATACATTTGTTTCCTACAGTGTACCTTTAATCGTAAAGATGCAGCTACAACAGGCTGCAATTTTAGCAAGGCTTTTGTGTGATAGGTTAAGGTAAGCTAACAGGCTAATGGCTGTTTTACTGTACAGATAGAGGTACCACTACTGACAAAGATTAAATGACTAACCATGCCTTAAAGTATTACCACAGGCAGAAGCATTGGAAAATGTGTGGGTAAAATATGACCCATAATCTTATAAAGGCTTTATCGTTTCAGCTTTTGTATCGTAAATTTCAAACATTTTGGACGGTGCCTGTTGAATTTCAAAGCTGCAAATCACACCGCCACAACGAATGTCTGTTTCAATTTGAATGAAAACCTCCCTCATACGTGTGACATGTCAGTTTCGGACTCAACACTGGAACCAAAGGGACCCAGGAGGCCGAGCAGGGTCATTTAAAATCCATAAAACTAAAGTGAGGCTTCCTGCTGGGTTGAAATACTGCTTTCTCACCAAACAAACCCAAGTACCATTCATAACCATAGTGTAATCATCCCGTAGGCCACTTATATTACTCTTTTTGATTTATGGGCCACTCAAGGTAAAGAGGAAACTAAGTAATACTGTTTCAGCGTCGACAATGCAGAGGTTTGTTCAGCAGCAGAAAAATCTCTGCTGTATTTTGGCCTAAGGGAGATACATTTTTATAGGCTGTTGCTGGGAGGAAACAATCTAATATGAGCAAATGAAAACACTCCTTTACAGATTGTATTTACTTTGAAGACATTAGTTCAGCAAAGTACACATTTTCGTAAGATCAGATTGTACATTTCTCTCACAGGATGTCAAACAAACACATTCCTACTCCGTGTTGATTACTAAACCTGACAGTCAAGAGGACACTCCGTCATTTGTTTCTCAAGAAATCCCTGATTGAGTCAAAGTTACAGTGTTTGCAAATAAAGTAATACTCGGCAAAGCAGTTCAGCTCTTGGGCTTTGCAAAAATCACAGTTATCCTCCCCCTTGTATCAAAGGAGGTTCAACATCATAAATAACACTGAAGTTACAAAAAAGTGCAAGTCTATATCAAAAGGTTTGATGTCCCTTAGCAGCTTAATTGCACTGTGCTCTGCAACCCACACACAACAAAAACTTCTTTGTGATTCATTCACACCATTTTGATTTGGTTATTTTTTGAATTTCTGAATATGCAAAGGGAGATGAGACACAATCCAAAGATGGCCAAGCCTACGCCCAGCAGTGCCTTCTGTATTGTCTCCAACATATCGATCCGTGAGGTTAGCTCCCTCTTAAACATCTCTGCCGTTTCTACATCCAACGCAGCCGTCTAGGTATATGGAAGGAGACGGGGAAAGAGACAGCGACTGATTAGCATGCATGCCAAGCGACTAGAATAAACACTTCATGGCTGCAGGCCTTCACTTTTCTTTTTATCTTACCTCGTTCAGCCAAACAAGAGGGAATATGGTATAATCCTTGACTTTCTTCAGCACCCTGTGGAAAAGGAGTTTGTCACTTGGTATTCAGTGCTTGAGTCTGTCTCAAACTTTCTTTATTTTTTTTGCCTTTGTTTGACAGTGACAGCAGAGAGACATACAAAACATGCAGGGAGGGAAAGATATTTTGGGAAATGCGCTTGTTTATTTTCTTGCTCAGAGCCAGAATAGAAGATGCCACTCTGGTGTCTGTGTGGTAAATGTGAAAGTTCCCAGGGTCCTATGCTCACATTGTAAAATAATGTAGAAGGCTATTTCCTCAGTTCCATTTGCAGATTATCAAAGGGTGTTGAAATTTCAGATTGAAATGGCAAAATCAGGTTAGCCATTGGGAGATATTAATTTCTTAAACCAAGAAAACTGTTTTGCCTAGAATTCAAGAGCATTATTAAGCTGTATGTCTCTAGTGTGTCTTTTTAAGATTTTATTAAAATAGAAAAGACAGGATCTTGGGCACATAGAAACTGCTTCTACAGGTATTAGCAGGTTAGCATAGCTGCTAACCTTTGCAAGACCAAAAAGAAAAAGCGCATAGTCTGTATGCTAAGCTAGGCTAGGCAAAAAAAATAATGTATTAAACATTAAATGTAAAAAACTAACCAACATTTTGAAAGTTCTCACTAGTGTTAAGAAATGATTGAGGGGATATAGCCGACGCTACAGCTAGCACCAGGTTAGGATAGCGCTTAGCTTAGCAGTCCATATAAAACCACAATAACAACAATAACATAATATTTGGTAATAACATTAAACCAAATTTTTTACAACTGTACCAATTAAAAAACATATTGATGACATTTTAAACGAGTGTTGTATGGACAGTCTTTATGCTAAGCTAGGCTATAAAGGCATGAGAGTGGTACCAATCTTTTGCTCTAACTCTCGTCCAGAAATTCCCTAAAACGTGTCTTCTTAAAAAGGTGAAGTACAACTTACGTGATGACTTTTGATGGTCCGTACATCATATTCACTTGAATCCTTTTTGCAAACCTCAAGGTGAACCCGGTCATCTAATGCAAAAGTACAACAAAACAATTAGTATAACGGTTGAAGCATCTTAAACTTCATTGAGATAAAAGTTTCTAAGTTCGTACAGGTTCTACATCCATGTAGGTGACATGGTGCTCCTCGCTGGGATTGAGGCCCAGTACAGTCTCTCTCAGGTCCGCACTGCCATGCAGGAAGTGGGGCAGAGAGATGTAGATGGGTTTTCCTATAAAGAAAGAAACCAAAGGTGAGTTAACATGCAACACTACTACGCTTAAAAAACCTAATAATGTTTAAAAAAGTCACTCAAGTGACCGTTTTGACAGGAGCTGATGTCTAGAACTCCCGCCATGGTGCAATTCTTGGTGGTCTTTGGGTCTCTGCAGAAACATTGGTTGTCTGGGTTGACCGTAGGGGAGGCGAGGGTGTTTGGTTGCAGGCTATAGCGGTACACCTCGATGCCCTTCAGATCTAGGCTCTCCTCAAAGCCAGCTGACACAGACCTGAGGGTCAAACAACACAGAGATTTTGTCCAAAATTCGTCTTGCAATCGACCCTCTGAATACTCAGTCAACTTCGGCTGTTTTGTGCATTTGAAAGCTCTGACCTCTAGTGGTTACTGAGAGGAAAGTTCAAAGGCTGCACTTGTCAAGGTAAGATGTGACAATCTCACACAATAAGTAAAGCAAAGGATCTAGAAAAGATCCTACAAAATCAAACACTTAATTACCTGCAGATGTCTGATGAGAAGAAATAGAGAGGCTTCTTCTTGTCCACAAAGGGAGGGAATGATGAAGCATCTAAGAAACAAAAGAAATAAAGAGGAAAGCGGGTGAGAAAAGATAACCCGCCACAGTCGAGAAATAATGGAGCTTATAGATCAGAACATACCTGTCCCGTTGATCATGTCACAGTACTTGTCATTCCAGAAATTTAAGCTCCTGTAGGAAAAAAAAGGAAATTTACACTGGTTAAAATCTGTAATCAATTGATCAATAAGTTGTTTATTTCTTCTGAGCTTCATTCAGTATCAGACTCACTTTCTTCCTTGCCACCTGTCAATTATTCCCATTTTACTGATGTCATCCTTTCCAGTGAAGACAGTGTAAAAGCCATCATAGGTGCCATTGTACTAAGGGAAATACATTGTATTTAACACACTGATAAAATAATGTCATTTCAGAGGCTTTACATGGTATATCTGGTCTTTTTTATGTGTATTATTATTTGTGAAGTGCATGGAAGTAATATATTTGTATTTACAGGTGCAAATAAGCCTATACGTTCTTTCAACAGGGGGTCTGCGTAACCCCACAGCATTTCCTTGACTGTGCGGTGCTGGAACAAGGAGGAGTTGCTTGACTTCATCAGATTCTCCAGCACTGTATGTAGCGGTTTTGGAACCAGTGAATAAGCCCCCTGGGGAAAAAAAAACAAAACCAAAACATTTCTATATTAGATAGAGCGCAGTAAATTCTAATTTCCTCATCGATAAAAGTGGGCACCATTATGGCTTCGTAATGATAGCTACACATGCAGAACTGCTGTGCACACAACTGCTACAGATGCCCGAGGAGATAAGCCTGCTATTGCTGTTATCTTACATAATTACAGACAATCAGAGGCTTTCATTGAAATTGCTTCGACTCCTCTTTTGAGCATTATCAAGTTTGAAGAGATATGTTCATTGGAGCCATAAACAAAGACTGTGTTATGGCATTATGACTTATCACTTTTTATAATTTCCAGACTCTAACACAGCAGCATGTTGGTGTCACTCTGAGGTCATACAACACCAGATATGATGGAGCTGGGGTTGTCATTTAAGTCATTCAGCACCTTTTCAATCTGGGAACTTTTTATCAAAACATTTTACATAATCTAGGAGTTTACAAATTAATCTGAAGAAGCTAAACCTGAAGAAAATGTCCAACATGTTGGGGGTTGTTTCTAATAATACTGTATTTAAACAGTTTTGAAGTCAATCAATCAATCAATCAATCACTTTTTATTTGTATAGCACCAATTCAAGACACTTTACATAAGATCACATTTAGGCCATAATCTTTGTTATATCAATCACAAAGACCCAACATTAATCCTCCATGAGCACTTGGCCACATTAACAGTTAGAAACCTCGAGCAGGACCAGACTCATGTTGACCAGCCATCTGCCACAAACGTGTTGGGTTTGGGATGGGTTTCATTTTATCCTTCAGTACAATTATGGCCAATTTGATGCATTGTGGCAGAGTTTGCCTAAAGCTAATTTACATCTGCAGTCCCTTGGCAGGTCACAAGTAGCCTCATATATCAAAAAATAGCACAGAAAAGAGGGTGACCAGCTATCATGTCAATCCTTGATTTTTCCATAAAAACCAACAAAACTTGTTCAGAATCATTTTTTCTTAGGATGAGACAGTCCAAGATTGAAATCATGAATATGTTTCTAATTTAAGAAGTCTCTCATGGCTAGGTTCTTTCATGTGTTTAGATGACAGTTAGGGGACAAATATATTGCAGTTTTTTTTATTGATTCTTCTTATTGTGTAACTGTGGCTATTGTGACTGTGGGATTTGCTGACTTTGCAGCTGTCAACGACTCTGTAGTCTAGAGGATAGAAAAACACAGACTCTGGCAAAACAACTAGTATTGAGGCACGAAACATCAGCAACCAAAGATGAAACATAAATCCTTTGAAACCTTTGTCTCTGAGTCCAACTGGAGAAAACATAGACATTAGCGTAATTGTTAGAAGTCGTCAAAGTAAAGTGAGAAATTAACCAAACGCGTTAGCTAGGCCTTCTGTAGGTAACAGCATACAAGCTGCTGGACAAGGCTGTAAAAAAAGGCAGCCTCAAGTGGATATTTGAGGAACTGCAGTTTTTTGCACTTCCACATTGGTTTCTTTTTTCAACACCAAAGGTTGCCAAATGGTCTATACAATGACTTGTTCCAATGCGTCGTGGGTTAATGAGATAATAAGACACAGAAAATTAAATATATACATTATTCTATACATTTTTCTATCATTTAGATAATTGGGCTTATTTTGTTTCATTGATAGAAGTGCTTTGGAAAGACTCATGTTAATATGCTGCAATGTTTCATCAAAAAAAAAGTATTTTCATCTGTTTGGAAACTCTGCTGTTGTCTCAACACTGGTAAGGTAGCCTGTAATCACAATCTTCAACTTGCCCCAAGCAAATGTAATTGTGTTCTGAATCGTCCTTTTCCAAATCCATATGATATACTGCATTGGTTTCTAGGTTTCCAACATGTGGGTCTTGACTCTTTATGGGGCCACAATTTAAATCTCCTGGCTCACACAATGTTAAAGAGGTAGAGTAAAAGATGAATGCTATTCAAAGTACACAATGTACAGTTGTGTAAGAGCAAGCGAGAAATCACTTAGTGGTCCTTACAGCTCTCAAACTACCGGCCACAGAGGGTCAAGCCAAAAAGGTCAAGCCAAAAAGGTTGGGAACCACCACTAAAACAAGTGAGTGCAGACCACTGCAACCCACCACAGAGCATCACAGCTTGATTTGGCATCCGCCCATTTTGGCCTTTGGAACTGCGGCATGTGAACTTATAACAGCAGAGTCAAGTCAAATCAGGGATCACGGCACAGCGGGGTCAGACTCACTTACAGCCACAGCCAGGTTGAGGGAGGTGACTTTGTCTTCCTCTGGTCCCACTGACATGGACGGCTCAAAGATGGCACCAAAAGGCAGCAGGAAGGAGACAGTTTGATTGGGGTTGAATGTGATGTTCTCTTTGGGGAGATATCTTGTCCTAGAAGGGATCTTATTTAGACATTGAATTGCATCCAAGGAGAGATATGACATGATGAAACACTGTAATGTAGGAGGTGCAGAAGGAAGAGACTGGCCCCAAAATGATACAGAAGAGGAAAAGAAATCTGCCTTACCGGTACGTGTAGGGTCCTTTTTCCAATACTACAGGTTTTGCTCCATGCTGTAAAATCTCAATCGGGTTTTTGACGTCAAAGAACCAGAACTGCCTGTACACCTTTGCTCCTGCAGCCACCCAGTTGTCATATGCTGTGGTTCCAGGCTCAATGACGGCTTCCTAAACCCAGCAGACACACACAGACAGTCTATTTTTAACATTCCTCAAGAAGACTGCCAGCAGGCCAGCTGCCCCGCTGATACATGAAAAAAGGGAGGATGCTCTGATATCAAAAAAAAAGGTCTTAAAAAAAAATAACATTTTCTCTACATTGCCAACGGAGAAGCACAGATGCTGGATTTTCTTTCTTTTTTTTGATAGATGAAAAGAAATCACTCTTTGCTTTTTCTTGCACAGCTTGTTTACCAGCTTCCCAAAACGCACGCCTCTTCCCTCTCGTTTCTCCCGGTTCACCTTGATCTCAGCGTACACACTCACAATCAAACACACACTGTGCCACTCACACTATAATTTCCAAAAGCGGGGTGAAACTGAGCACCATACCTTCTTCACTGTCCCCTCAATGATGCTGTTCCCCAGCGGGATGAGGATGCCTCCGAAGATGGCAACCACAGCCCCAAACACAGCTCCGGCTATCAGCCCGCACCTCATGTTACAGCAGCCCATGGTGGTTGTGCGTTTTATCCCTCCGTGCGTCCGTCTTTCTGCCAGGCAGCCTGTTCTCCTTCTGTCTGTGTGTGTGTTTGTGGAGTGTGTGCCTTGAGTGTGTGCTGGTACGTGCAGGCAGTCTGTGTTTGTGTCCTGGCAGCGGCAGCACGAGCAGAAGCAGAGCAGGCTGTACCATCAGTGAAGCTGACAGAGCAGCTCAGGCCAGGTAAAGGTACAGACTCCTCTGGCAGGTGTCCTGGGACCTTTTATACTTGAAGTTACATAAGGAGGAAAGGTAAAGTTCAGCCCAGAGACGTCCCCTCGAGGTATCAGAAAACACTATCTGAGCAGGTGATAACAGCCTCATTAGGCTGAGGAGAAAGGTTTAAGGAGAAGGTGGATGAAGCTCTAAAGAAGTTTACTTAAGAAGCCATTTAATTCGTATTTTTCCTTTATTAGAATCATTAACCACAGTTTCAGATACATAAAAGCCTTAATTACGGATACCTTAAGCAAATGTACACACTTTACAGTTTTTCTGTCCAAATTCTTTCCAATCCTCCTCTATCTTTTTACCTTTTCTTCCTCTACAAATGTCTCCCTTGCCTCCTTGTTGCATAACACTCTTACCAGAAACAGAAAAGGGGGAACAATATAAATTATAAAGCATATTCTCGTTGTGCAGAGACATAAAAAAAAATAAAAAAATAAAAAAAATAAAAAAAGCTTATCTGTTCTTGTGGTTGTGTAGTTTTAGGGGGGGATATTCAAATGATTTGCACTTTATCCCTCTAAAAGTGACATGTCAAGCTTATCTTGATTTGTTATTCTGATACATCTGATATCTTGTTATTAAAGATTTCCTTCCACGTGGAGTTTGGGAACAAAGTCAGCAATAATAAAACATTGCTTTTGCACATGTTGTTTTATGAATACTTACTATTTCTTCCTTATTGCAGGATTTCAACAAGGATGCACCTTCCCAGTGTTTTGTTTTGCTAAACCAAAATTGCATTAATTTAAATTCAATTCAGTTCAATTTTATTTTCACACATACACACATGCACGTGTTCCTACTAGTGTGCACACACAGGACCATACACCAACTGTACACACACACATAGTGTATAAAAAGCCACTCTAGTTTTCATTACTTTCATTTTACCTGTCCCTTTACACACAAGAAATATTGCATATCTTAGCATCAAACGTTATAGCCACTTAAATTTTGATGTAGAAATGTGTTCAAAATAACACTGCACTCATACAACAGGCATATGCACTTGAAAGAAGGGAGTCAACCTTTTCCCTTAAGTTCAGAAATGAGAAGGTCAGCAAGTCAGCAGCTTTAAGTGCCTGCAGGTCAAGCTCCAAAACACTGGATCCTACACGTCCCATAATGCAACTCAAATAGAGCTTATTTTTCAACCAACAATCCTTTTAAATGTTTGTTCCTTTCCAAAGCCACATCACAGGTTTGTAATTCTGCGACACCTTCTGTCATAAATTTGAAGCCCAAACTGGCATAACCTTTATGACATCACTGTGACATCACCAGGGGTTTATTTTCTCCTCTGTAAGATATTACAGCCTATTTTAAATGCTTTTCGGGGCTGCCTTTACTGTATTTACTACGGCTGATCCTTACCTGCAAAATCAGCGCGCTAGACTTGTGGCTGTGCTGAAAGGTTGAACATACAGCTTTCCCTTTACTTGTCTAAAGCACGGTGAAGTGACATATCAACACCACTGGAGGGCGGCACCACCATTAACTCACAACTCTCTGCTTGTTCTGTACAAACTCCTCTGAGTCTCTCTGCCAAAGACTTGTCTCTACCTATTCAAACAAACATTCCTGTGAAAACAGTTTGAATGTCACCTTGCTATGCTTATCCCCTAATCATTGCTGTTAAATGCTTCTTCTTTTTTCTTTTTTTACATCCATCAGGAAGTTAATCTTGTGATCCGACTAATATCATGGTAAAGCTCATTTACTTGGCATGCATTTCTTTAAACATTATACCTCAATAAGGGCTTGTTTGCATACCACAACTTGAAATAGGTGGAACTAAACAGCGAGCAAAAGTTGAAAGACGAGCGATGAAAGTATCCTCAAACTGCACGCCATGTTTACTCTGTTCTTGTGTCGTCATGGGGTTAAATGTGTGTTTAATGAACCATTTTTTTCCTTTTATGATCACGTTGTACATGAACAGGAATACCTGAATATAAAACTCACCGTAGAGAATTAAGTGTAAATTTGATTCCAATATATGCATAGGTATGCAAAGGTATCAGGCTTTTTAACTGAAATGAATTCCATGTCTGTGGTATTTTCTCTGGTAAACTATGACATGATCTTTTTTTTTGCCTATGGAGATAAACACCCTGGGTCAACACCACACATTTGCATGCACTACCAAAAAAAGAGCCATGGTTGAAAGGAAAATAACATGGAACTGCTGGTGCTTTGACACCATGGGGAATTATGAGGTCATATTGAGGTGGACATCCTCTGCCTTTAGGCTGAACTGCTGACTTTGAAGACAAATTCCTGACTTTGTCCGACAGAGTTATTAATTTAAACCACAAATACTAAGCATGAAGCCTACAGCTGAGTGGGTAGATTTTGAAGTTGGGTTCCCATGAAAATGACACATGCTCGAAATGCAGCCTATAGCTACACAATTATGCAACCGATGGAGGTTATGTACACATGTATATATAATACTGTATACTGGTATGAGCAGGAGCAACATAATAAAATGTAAAAACCAATGCATTGTTTGTTTAAAAAATCACGTTAATTAAATAGAGTCATTAGCTTTGATAATTTGGGTAGTATTGAAAAAATAATGCTGTCCAGGTTGCCATACGTCAGGGAGTTTTCAGTTTGGGCGTCTGCCTTCAAAATAAATGTGTCAAACAATTCCTAAAAAAAAAAAGTCAAATTATTTGTGATTGATGTACACTACAAAGTAAAATGTATGAGTCCAATAATTTTTCTTGCCTTGAAGTAAAGGGAGGCTTAATCAAAGTAGGCTAGGAATGTTTACAAACGTGAGACTGTTTAAGCATTAGTGGGTTGTCTGGTTAAAATGACACTTTATTCTGAAGGAGCACACCGGAAGTCTTGTTGTCGTTGCCGCCTGTGGAACAACTCGAGCTGCTCTCTCTCCAGTCGTCGCTGCACATTCAATTCTGGCAGTTGCCGCCGCAACGAATGGAGGCGACGAGACATCACCGAGGAATTTCTTCGCTATCAAAAAAATAGCTTTCCCCCCACACACACGAGTAGACGGAAGATTTTAAACCTCGGAGAAGACAAAACGCAACGCTCGGTTTTAAAAAAAAAAAAAAGTCTTTTTTTTTTTCCTCCGATTTTGCCTGTCAGTTAAAAAAAAAAAAAAAAAAAAGGGCGTGTGTGCGGAGTGAAGGCAGTTTTTTTTAACCATTTAATGTGGGTATATATGGTGTTTTAAATACATTTTTTTTGGTGTAAACCGTCTGGGTCTGACGGACATAAGTCGAAGATGGGATGCACACTGAGCACGGAGGACAAGGCGGCGGTGGAGCGCAGTAAAATGATCGACAGGAATCTGCGGGACGACGGGGAGAAGGCGGCCAGGGAGGTCAAGCTGCTGCTGCTCGGTAAGGAAAGGAAGGAGGGGATGAAGGAGATGGGGTGGGTCAGCTTTACCTTGCTTTACAGCAGCTGAGAAGAAAAGAGGGTGGACATAGTACCCTTTTAAAAACTACATTACTGTCACAATTATCCCCCCAAAAAAAAATAAAAAAAATGTTCATTTACTCCATTGTTAAACTGTATTCACAACTCTTGTTCAGAATGACTAACATACATTTTTTTCATTTTCTCCCCCTCTTGTTGGCTTTAGGGTCCATTCAGCGGCCTCTCTAGTCTACACCATTTGTATTGACTAAATCCTTTCAACAATGGCACATTTCCTATCGTCTAGTATAGTGCTGTGCTGTGGAAAATAGCACTATGCCTCATTAGGGGGCCCATGCCTTGAATGCATTTAGCTGAGTCCAGTCATATTATAGGTGTAATTATAGGTATTTTTTTTAACGTGTGTGTGTGTGTGTGCAATTAGTTCTGGCCAAGGACATTGATTGGAGTCCATGAGTGCTGATATGAGTACAACAGCACTGGGAGTTTAAACATGATGTATCCCTCATTCACTTAACAGCGAATTCACTAGATTAATCATTCTTGTGTCTTTTGAATCACACATGTTGGCAAATCTGTCATCTTGACTTGGTGTCACACTGGTTGCACGATCAATTGGAAACAAAGCTGATCTCACAAAGCAGATGGAGGGTTTTTCAACCTACACCTACATTTGTCTCGGTGTACCTTGTGTTGTTTTTTCCAGCTCAAGTTAGTGAATATTATGCAAGTGGTGAAGTCTGAAAAGGCCAACAAACGCAGAATGTTACAATAATGAAGGGGTAAAGAATAAGAAGTCTTATTGAGTTGGAAGCCTGTGTAAAGTTAATTGCTATTGATTCATTTGAATAGCAAAGCAGTTGTATGACGTGACATTCTGCTGTAAAGATAGTCGCCTCATTACTGTCTCTCATTTCTCTCAGCAAAGGCCAATTTGGACTGACCTTTGTGTATCAAGCATTTTTGGAATCCCCCTCGGAATACGCATGGCTATTATTTTTGATAAACCAGCTTATCTTTCATACGCCATTGTAATTTCTTGCTTTCATTACTACGTGTGTTTCGCGTGACTTCCCTCACCTCCTGCTTGCGTTATATAGACGGCAGCCATGTGTGAATTAAAGGCATTACTCACATGTGGGGAAACACTGTTATCCTTGTAAATAGAGACCGTAGGTGAAAAACTTTTCCATCATTGTCCCTAGCTTTGGGAAATGTTGACATGCACACACATGGTATGTGGGTTACCAGACACGAAGGCTGGAGCCAATATCAATAGAAGGCAAACACCTGTGCAGAGTAGGAGCTGTTTTTGGGTGGCGGACTGGGAAAAACAACAATTCTTAACATTCTGTGCATAATTTAGGAACAACTTCTAACACCATTTTTCTCAGTATTCCTAGGAGCACTGACACAGTTTTTTTTTTTGCAATTTCTTCGATATACATGGTGTGAAGTTGGAGTGCGAATAGGAATGTGCATATTTTCTTGCCAAAGGTAGAACGCATTCCTCAGGTGCTTGGAGGCCAGATAGGGCTTGCTGATTGAAAGCGAGCAAGTTAAGTCA